TCTCGTGCTAAGCGTGTAAAAACTTGTATTAACATGCTCAAAAGTGCCAATGTGCACATCAATGTCAAGCTAAATCAATGTTGTGTCTAAAACAGGTACCTGATCTACTCAAAACAGCTTGTCATACACGTATACACGCTTAGCAAACACGGAATGACACGGAATTGGAATTTCGTTCGAGAGCTAGTAATGTTTGCTCCGTCTTCGTCATAATTGTTCAACAGACTTCACGCATGCGCAGGAGAAAAACCATCAACCAATAAGGTTTATAAATCAATTTTGCGCATGGGTAAACGGTAAAGAAATTCGTATTTATAAACGAACCAGTTTGAGATAACCCGATATCAGTCGGAGAAATCTGACGATCTACGAAACTCACTTCAAAAAATCAAATGCGGACTGACGGCGTATTCTACTATGTTTGGATCTAAGATTTTCAGTATAGATAAAGTCTTTTATGATCTTTCGAATGAGGTAAGTCTCTAGTTCGAAAGACAATCGTATCAACTTGAACAAAAGTTGAGTTTTGACGAAAAATTTTAACATGCGCAGAAGTCCCATTTTCGTTGTACCATATTGACTGAACAGATTCAAAATTGGATCAGAACTAACAAAGTTATTAAGCTTTCTGGGCAGCTACCATGAACGTTATCATTGAACAATTAGGGAGTTTAAGATTAGCGTAAATAACCCATTTACCTATACCTATACGTAGTTTGTTATTACACTAAGCGGTATTTTACCTAAGTTACAGGGTTTACGATACGTAATTACCTATAAAAGGCCGGAGATAGGTAATTCGAAAACGTATGTTTTTATCCAACAAATTATGTCATTTCTAGATCAAATATCATCCATTAAACTTTAAAATAGTAACAACAAACATTTCTCATTCGATCTGCATAGAAATTAAGTGGTCGAACACATTCATCGATGCGATAAACGATGCCATGTGATGATGCATGAAATTGTTGAATTTACACATTCTTCATAAGTTTTGCTTATTGTAAAGGTATGAAATCAGCCATTTTCTCGTGGTTTGAATTGTTTAACTTTACTTTTTGGTCACTCTCATTGCTGGATCATGCTAGAAATTTAACATTTCGACTTAAGTCACTGTCCCATTAGCGGGCCCACAAGTAACACCCCCTCCCAATACAGCAGCTACACCACACTCTCTCTGGAGTATATAACATTCTTGGAGGTGACATGTACTGGTATGTACCATATAAGCCATCGCATGGTTTTCATTCTATAATTAGGATGTCATTTTTATCATAAATTGTAGCATACGGTTTCGTAGCTTTTTACTTTAATCTTAAACTCATTTTGCAATACGCAATAGAGAGGTTTCGCAAAACGGGTTAGCTAAAACGTATCCGCATCCGTATCTCGTTACGTTTACGGAAACGTATTTCGATAATTTTCGTTTCGCAGTTCGTTTTTTGAAGTACGTAATTATAAACGCATCTTAATTCGTGTTTAATAGTAGCGAAAACTAGGGTCAAATAAAATAATTCATCTGCACTAGGATTCAATACACCATTGAGAGTGTCAGCTTTCAGAATCACAACTCCATAATTATTATTGGTGAATGTAAAAATGCATATTAACCCTTTCATCCCCAAGGGGTCATTCATGATTTATTTCATGAATCCAATTTCAAAATGAAGAATATCCCTTAGGCCAGAAAAGATAATTTCTATGTTTACAATGACCAATTGTTTGTCAAACTATACTTTGGGGAATATTTAAGGGTTTGAACTCAGATAGGCTGAAATAGTGGTCATTAAGTGAAGGGCAGTGATTGCATTATGCTAGAAAATGCGTAAACATTTCTGTTTTCGGTAGAAATGATAATATTTGATATTTGAAATTAGTGTGTACATTTGCGTTTACTTATTTTTTCCCGAGAATATCAAGAATGCAGCAAGTGCGTTTTGACTTAACATGAAAGCATGCACGCTTGACGTAACATCATCATATCTCTTTTGACCTCATTATCTTTTTAAGTATGGCCTTATAAGTATACTTATCAATGCTATAATTAGTTCCGAAGGAGCACACGCAATCTAAACAAATGGTATAAGTGATTTATTATGTCATATCAAGCTTGAGTGAAACCAATCCAGCCAAATATTTGACCTCTATTGCAACACCTATTTACTCATAGCATCTTTTTATTTCACTCAAAAGTAGAGTTCCATCTTAAGCATATGCATTATGTATATTATGGAGTGATTCCGATAAATAGTTTCTTAGACATAACAAACCATATAGGCATTCGTAGCCTTGCCCTAGTCGGTCTCTTACTTATCTTGATTTCTATCCTATTGTGAAAGATATGACCGTCTAAAATCACTTGCCAAACTGCAAATCGACCTTTAATTTCATGTTTTTGCAGCTCCTTTTGTATGAAAAATCAACAAAAAATATATTATGTAAAAAGATAAATTAGCATTGTTTTTCTTGGATTCATCGAACAACAGGAGACCCCCTCATCAGAGAACGACGCAAAGCTGACGCGAATCATACCAGTTGAATATCTCACACAAGAGATTGCATTATATATGAATACATGTAGGTACCAAACCTATAACATACTAATAAATGTGTACAAACATATTATTATACCCTCTGATTCTACCCTGAATATACCAACCAACTGATATACCAACAACACAATACCCTAAACCGGCCATTTATATCTTAACCAAATAATACACCACAACCCGATCGGACACAACCCGTAACACAACATGCATGACATATATAACCTATTACAACCAAACACAACCTAGGTCACCAATCATACAACAGTACAATATAACATAGCCCAGTGACAACATACACAAAACGCAACAGAGCATAACTCAGCACCAAAGTCAGCATAGCGCAACCTGCCTTTCAACCACCAAAACACAACCAACTGTCAAATTAACACAATATGTCACAACCCAATGATAAAACAAAAAAGGTAAACACAACCAATTGTTGAACTAACTCAACGCAATTGTGCACAACCCAACACTAAACAATTAAAACACAATCGGGCACAACCAATAAAACACAACTATATTAACAATCACAATAACACAACGAACTGTGAACTTATATATCACCACACAATTTGGCACAACCCAATGATAAACCAACAAAAGCAAACACAACCCATTGTTCAAGTAACACAACACAATTTTCCAAAACTCAAAACCAAACAATCAAAACAAAATCAGGCACAAGCAATAAAACACAATCAAAATGTAATACCAATATACACAACTAACTTACTCCGAATGGAGGCAACGCCAATCACACAACACAATCAGACAAAACCAGATACCTTGCCCGACTAGGTACAACCAGCTACCCAACCAACATAACATATTCACAAGAGAACACAACCCATCATAAAATAAACATAATACAATGGGGCACAACCCGATACTAAATCACCAGACTAACCACCATGAAAGGACAACCGACTCTCAAACTGACACAACACAATTCGGCAATATCTACCAATAATCAATCAATCAAAACACAATCAGGCACAACCAATAAACCACAACGAAACGTTGATACCGATATACTCAACTAACATATTCCAACTGGAGACAACCGCAAAACACAATCGGGAACAACCCGATATCTACCTGAATTACAAGCACCCCCCCCTTCCTATCATCACAAGGCTGCTGATGAAGAACATATCATGGACAACCACCCAAAGGTTAGATGCATATGGGGCCCCTACCATGACTTATATATAAGGGAGAAGGCCCGTTTTAGGATCGGGATATCAGGCTTTTCTTTAAAAAAAATTAAAACAGGAAATGACACGCCATTATCATCATCCTATGATCAATTAAATATACCTGTCACATAATCACTGACGGTGGTTCGGAGAAGCTTTGGCACTAAACTTTAGGGCACTTGTCTCCCTGGTCCCCCAAACATAGCCGCTTACTATTTAACACAGATCGCATGAGTTGATGCGTGTTCAAGTCAAACTAGGGGAAGAAGCTCCCCTGGCTAGAATTAATGTTATGATCATCCTGAGCACTTTTCGGGAGTTCTTTTAGCCAAAATTGTCAAAAAGCTCCCCCTTGGCAAAAGCTGGATGCGGGACGCCACCTTTAGACCTAATATCACATTCATAGTCGAGGTCAGGACCAAGCTGCCATACTCAAACAAGTCCAAAACCCTGCTCTGTATGAATTTAGAGCGTGACTTGGGGCGCAAAATATAAATTCAGATGGCCTAGTTGCTAACCACTGGTTTGATGTCATGCCTGTGTCACATTTGCTCCGATCCATCGGCCGGCGCCTGGCGGATTGAGTGCTTTGCTCAATAATGTATTCAATTTTGAACAAAATACTCAATCGGCCGGGCGCCGTAGTGAAAATCGGAGCAAATGTGACCAAGGCATAAGAAATTGACTTCGGTATAACTATTGATCCTAGAAGAGTAGTGGATAAGGAATCAGACTGCAATATGACCGATAGATGGCGCTGCCAAAGTCACCGTGGTAGTAAAAAGTGACGTAAAATGACGTAATACTTGACCTTGGGCACGGATTAGGGTGACTAATAGGGGATTATGACGTCACTTCTACTACCACCTTAGACCCATTACATCATAAGTAAACACGGGGTAGCGTAATTTAATTGAATCTCCGCCGAGATAAGTGGATGGCCTAGGATAAGAGTGGTATTAGTAAATTACTACCACACTGTATAATGTGGTACTAGCAGGCTGAGCTACCCCGCTAAGTAAATTGTCTAAGAGATTATTTAAACGTTGTGTGTGTGTTGGTCAAATCTTAATGAATGGCATCATTTACCAAAACCAATAAACCATACCCGCATAAATACAAAGATTTAAGCGTACGTGTAAACTCAACTCGCTTTGTTTTGGTACCTGTTCGAAAACGTCTGGCCTTGAAATAAAAATCAATAATTCTGGTACCACACTGATATATTCAAATGATGGTCAAAAATAAAGCGTCCCTTAATAAAAAGGATAATCTGTATATTGGTCAGTTCAATATAATTCACTTGTCTGGCTTGGACGTTTGGATATAAACATCGAAATAGGAAAAGAAAAATTGAGAAGGCAAAATTACATATTTGATATAATGGCGAATCGACAGAAAAATATACCATTCAAAAAACGCAGGCTAAACTGTTGCAGAGAGTTAAAGCTTGATATCCCCCCTCATCCCATGACGCTAGATGGGGTGGTTCATTTTCATCTGACTTTGGAAGATGCCGCCCGTCCCTCTGGATGTATTGTCAATCCGATTCAACCAGATTGGCCACAAATGCTCAAGATTTCGGACGGGTTCAGCTTGCGCGAAATATTCATATACATGAAGGGGGACCACGTCGTTTTACGAACATTTCAACTTAAACTTATCGTTGTAAACAAGGAGAAGCGAGTAGGATGCGTACCTACCAGTTCGCAGTTTGCTCGACTACCTCGACAGGAGTTTGACTACATGATAACCTGCTGCACAGAAAGAGGAATTCGGGAGTATATGCTGCGTACCATTCGAAATGATTTGCCAGTTCAAAATCAGACATTGGATATTCCTTTGAATGAACTGCAACACTTAGGACTAGGATACGAGTTCAAAGTGCATTCGAAAGAAGACCTTTTTGAAGTGAGATCGACCCACCACAACCGAGTAAAGCAAAAATATACCCAACGCTGGTCAGTGTATGTCAATTTTGAGGAGATGGAGGATATTTTGGAGAACATTCACAGGCTCATTCCCCCCTTAGCTGTAAAGGACATGAATTGCTTAGCCACGTTACACGATGATCATATGAACCAGGATGGTATGTGGGCTTGTCACGTGTGTCAATATCTCTCTCCAGTGGATGACCTGGTAGACATTTAGAGGTCGACTTAGGGAACATACCGTACAAATTCGTGGACATTACACTAAACGTAGACAAAATCAGTATACTAAGAAAGATGTTTTCTCCTATTCAACTTATTTTTTTTATTTTTTTTATTTATACTTTATTCATGTTTGTTTTATCATGCTATCCAGTTTATATTAATTTTGTATCATAATGTGAAACATATCATACAATATACAGTTGTACAGAAATTGATTTACAATATATAATTGATAATTATGCAGCTCAAAATCTTAGTATGTTTATGTTTTACCTAAGTTCAAATGTCTCGGTCGTATTCAAAGCATATATTAGGAATTGTGAAATCGTGATTAAAGCCTATTAATAGTATCTGTGTACATTGGTCAACATTTAAATAAGATGTTTATACAGTTCAAAATAGTTTCACTGGAATCTTTTATCATTCAGAGTCCACTTCAGTATTATTATCACTATCGCTATTAGAATCCGTGTCACAGTCGCTGTTGTTGTTAGGCTCACTGGAATCATCTCCCATCATTTCGTCATAGTCTCTCAGTAAATGGTACAAGAGTTCTTTGCGCATGCGCACAGAAACTGGAATAGCTTCATCCATACTATATCCTTCATCTAGGAGACGCTCGATCGTGTTTTTCACTTTAAGAAATATAGGATCCCTAAATAATTGCAACGCGAAATTGATGCGATTGACGAATGCCTTTCTCAACATTTTACGCATCATTGCCACTAAATCGTCGTGGGCTGAACGCTCGGCTTCTTCTCTAGTGCCCCCCTCGGCCAAGTAGCGTGTCACTTCTTTCTTGTACCTGGGCTGTAACTCCTCTACGATAGGATTCATTATTTCCTTCCAAATATGGGAAGGCTTCGAGTTGCCATGGTCATAGTTCGCACCATTAGTAAGTTTCCTTCTTTTCAAGGGAAAGTATAATTTATTGCTTCTATCGTCATCGTCGTCGTCGTCGTCGTCGTCATCGTCCTCCTTCTCATCCTCCTGGTCGCTACCGTTCTTTCTATCATTATCATCATCATGGCCTCGACCAACCTGCTGTAAAGTTCTAATCGAGCCCGTCGACCCAGAAATACGATCCGCCAATGTTTTTCTTTTCATAGGAATGACCACTCCCTTTTCTTTCCCAGAATCATGTCGCGATATCGGTACGTCGAGCTCACCAGGTGGCCTCAATCCGGCATTCGGGTCTGCGTCTTTGAGCATTCTTCGCCGTAGTGGCCTGGTGACGTCTCTGCCACCACCCGTCTGCTCCACCGATTCTGGAATTGACGACGTTTCGTCGTCCGGTATGGCTGGGTTAGGTTTCAACATGTCCCTCTCCGATGTGGTAGGCTTCAAATCGACTAATAAATGGCCGTATGGCTTCTTAGTAGCTTCTTTAAATGTACCTAGAAAAGTCCCTGTTTGTCCCGGCATTATCTGCCTGGCCAATGTCGCGATCTGCAGTTTATCTCTGGGGTTCCGAAATAACACCATATAATGGGTATTCAGACTGATAGTTCGGGCTTCTCTTCCGTGATGAAATATGTTTTGAAGGAGGCAAATCACGCTCAGATTTCTGTGGTGACTACCCTTGGTAAACAAGTCAGATACGGCTCTACTACTACTAAGATCAGACAGCAAATCATCCATGACTACCAGATTAGGTTCGGTGACATCTAGAAAGTCATCTTCGGCGATATCGTCGGGAATGCCTTTCACAAATTCTATGTTGGGGACTGTTTGCCTCATTTCTTCGTAGGCGGGTTGCCATTGCCCGTAGCAGTACACTATCCTTCGCGGCGAGGGTGTCATCGTCAGGTCGATATTTTGCAATAGTTTCTTCACCCATACCGTTTTCCCACTAGATGTCGGGCCACTGACAATTAAGGTAAAGGGATGGTGGAGAAGAAGCAGAGGTGAAGACGTAGAATATTGTGTGAGCATTGTCATATTGTTGTTGTTTAATTTGTCCTTCCCGTCAATGAATGTTTGATATTTTTGTTTACTTTCTGGTGGATCTGACAAGCCGTGCACAGATTTTAAGTGTCTGAGAAAATTCCAATGTCTTTTGAATGTTTTATTGTCTATGTCGCAGGTGAACATCTTCGTCTAGAGACATTGGCTTTCCTTAATCGAATGACGCGATGGTTATTATGCAACCATATATATATATTCGAAGTTAGTATCTGTATGGGCGAAATCTCAAGTTTTCCATTTCTATTCGCCTATCTCTTCTAGCGATTTTTTTCTTTTTTGACGACTTTTTCATCCTCGTCAACTTTCTCACTGGTCCAGCATCCTTCAGTTTTGACGAATTTCGAATACCCGATCCAGTATGAGTAGTAATAGGGACTTCGTTTCTCTCAGCGTGAACATTATTCCCACTTCCAAACTGATCAGGTCCATCTTGTCTCAACGACTCCCAGGCAGTTTTATCTTCTAAGTCTGGGAGATTTTCTAAAAATCCAAGTTTGTAGCTTATCAGTTTCCCATTCTTCGAGTACATTTTACTTTCCTTGGGTATCAGCTTGTATTCGGACGCTTTCAGAAACTTTGACCACTTATCCGGGTCATCAATATAGGGCTCCAATTTCATGTTGACTGACTGGCTGTCAATAACTAACTGACTGAGTTCCCCGGTGTAACTAGTTTTATAAGGCACTTCCCGCGTACGAATTCTTTTTATTTTTGAGTTTAGAGCATTAGCAAATGTATATCTGTAATGAGTTACTAGAATGAGTCAATGAGTAAATCGAATGAGTCACTCGATCGAATGTTTTAATGAGAAACTAAAGAGTCACTTGAATGAGTTGATAAAAAACTAGATTGAGACAATAAATAACTCGAATGAGTCGATGAGTCACTCGAATGAGTCGATGAGTTACTCGAATGAGTCGATGAGTCCCTCAAATGAGTCGATGAGTCACTCAAATGAGTCGATGAGTTACTCAAATGAGTCGATAAATAACTCGAATGAGTCGATGAGTTACTCGATTGAGTCGATGAGTCCCTCAAATGAGTCGATGAGTCACTCAAATGAGTCGATGAGTTACTCAAATGAGTCGATAAATAACTCGAATGAGTCAATGAGTTACTCGATTGAGTCGATGAGTCCCTCAAATGAGTCGATGAGTCACTCAAATGAGTCGATGAGTTACTCAAATGAGTCGATAAATAACTCGAATGAGTCAATGAGATACTCGAATGAATCAATGCATAACTCGAATGAGTCGATGAGTCACTCGAATGAGTTGATGAGTTACTAGATTGAGACAATGAATAACTTGAATGAGTTAATGAGTTGCTCGATTGAGTCGATGAGTTACTCGAATGAGTCAGTCAGTTACTCGAATGAGTCGATGAGTCACTTGAATGAGTTAACAAATAAACAAGAATGAGTCGATGAGCTACTCGAATGAGTCGATGAGTTACTCGAATGAGTCGATGAGTCACTTGAATGAGTCAATGAATTACTCCAATGAGTCAATGAATAACTCGAATGAGTCAATGAATTATCCTAATGAGTCAATGAGGTACTCGAATGAGTAACTCAAATGAGTTAATAAATAGCACCAATGAGTAAATGAGTTATTTGAGTGAGTCACTAGAATGAGTTATTCGAATGTGTAAATAAGTTACTCAAACTTATCTTTGAATATGTAATTCAGTAACTCAGGCGAGTCCTAATTGAATAATGAGTAACTCAAAATGAGTCCAAGAATTATTGAAACAAGTTTTCTCAAAGGATTTGATTTGATAGGGATGTCCCAAATGAAAATCATATATATATATACAGGATGTTCAGTAAATAACTGAATAAGGGGAATGGGTCTGGTATAGTAGAGTTATGTGTAGATGATTGACGACATAAATTATGTCAATAAATAAAAAGTAAAAGTAAAAAAGGTGGGATTGACGTAGGTTTACGTAAATGCTTGGATTAGGCGATTGCAATCGTTGTTTTGTTAGATATGCATGTTTATTCCAATAATATTCTAATAAACATTCTATCATCAATGCATCGTGTAAGACGGATTAAGGCTTCGATTCGAATTGTTGCAATAAAATGTAAAAATATTCAATACTTTTCAATCAAAATTCAAATTACAGCAAAATATAAAAGATTTAAGCATGGGCACAATCAAATAGACACAACGATTACATGGAAATGGTTGAATGGTCAAACCCTTGAAACATGATCTCTAATGATCTGGCTTTGACTGTATACCGCATAAATATTTGTATTCATAAGACCGAATAACCATTTTTAAATTCCTTTGTAATTATGTACAGTACAATTTCAGCTTAGGTATTTACTGAATGGCTATGTTCTGGTTCCTTTTACTTTTGAATGTCGTTGTTGGCCAAGGCTTTTTATAACACAATGGTCGAGTGTATAAAAAACATCTGCAGACATATTATGATAAACCTTATTTAACGACTATAAAACGATGTAACTTAAGTTTTGCAAGGTTTTATTTCTCATTATTGAAGAGTCTGAAAGCTCCGATACATTTTACAGCATTTTTTATTCCAAAACCGATACAATAAGCTTGACCAACCCCTTTATCACGATATTAAAGATTATTAAGTTCATCGCACGCTCTAAGGCTTTCCATTGAAAATTGAAAGTGGGTTCTTGCCAAGTTCTTTTACAAGTACGTACACATATAAAATTGTTTATAAACTGATTAAATGTGTAACATTGCTTTCACTTAAATGTAACGATTGGATATTTTCATATTACTGATGGAATACCAATAGTATAAACATACGTTATATTTATTTGCGAGAATGAACGAGACATAGAGGATAACATAACTCAAATTTTCACATTATAATTTCGTATTTAGGTAACTTGAGTAAGTAACCTTCTAATGTTGCGATTTTAGTTCGAAAAGGTTATTAAGATTTTCTGTGCAACGGGATGTTATGACCAGAACCGATAGATTTTGAATGTTCAGCAAAGTTATATTTATCAAGTATTTCTCTTTTCATATACTTCCCGTACATTTTACAAATGGGTTAACTTTAAAAATCCCTTTTATTTAGGGACCCTTTATTTTTTACCATCATTTGAATATATCAGTGTGGTAGCAGAATTATTGATTTTTATTTCAAGGCCAGACGTTTTCGAACAGGTACCAAAACAAAGCGAGT